TAGTTTTGTCTAATCTTTTTATTTTTTTTTCCTTCTAAATAATGATATTTAATTGTTTTATGAAAACTTTCCAAGTGCATATTTGTATTTACACAACCAATTCGGTGGTAATATGCCCATTGCTTAGTAATGGGTAAGTAATGTGTTTGGATATGTTTTCCAAAAACTTTTGTATCAGTATCTTGTAAAAGAGTTTGAACAAATTCATTGAATTTTAGATTAAAAATATCTACGTTTAGTAAATTTTGAAAATATTTCAGGGTTTTGTAGACCCAAGACCTTTTCTCTTTATTAATTATTTTTAATAAATTTCACTACCATGCTCTGTCTACGTGCCATGAGCACAACAGTCTTTTTTCTACGGATGCCATAAGAAAGCACCAGGCATTAAAATAAGTCTCAGTTATATCTGACATGAAAACCTTAGAAGTAATTTTACCTGTTATTTTTTTTATTCCCGGAAAAAATTTGACATAAATAGCTGTTTTTTTTATTTGAAAACATAAAGGCTACAGCAAAACCTCTTTTATTCTCATCAAAGACAAGCAAAGTCGTGAGTTCAAAATCATAACTATTTAAGCCATGAGTACCATCTATTGTTACTAAATTATTTCCAAAACCCAATAAAGTTTTTCTCTGAACATCGTTCATAATTATTAAACAAAAATCATCATTTTCAAAACCTATACTTTCTTGTCCTTGAGGCTTATAAAATATAACTGGATTATTTTCATTTTTTTTGCATTCTGCAACCCAAATATCCACACTGGTTGCATCATCATGATGCAAGTAGCCGTCTTTCACGCTAACTTTATAAGACATCTTAATATTGTTAATGTCCTTATTCGTAAGAAGATCAACTCTTTTAAGATCTTCATGTATCATATCTCGGGTAGAAGATAATATCCTAAAAAATATTTTAATTTATACAAAAAAACATTAAATGTAGAATACAAATAAAAATACTAAGCAAAGCAAATATACCTGGATACATATTATTTTGTTGATGATGCCTTGACAATAAAAAAGACTGTAGATGGTACATTTATTTATCAATGTTACTTACACTTTCGCAGGAACTCCTAAAATAAGTTTAGAAGCAATTATATCCTTATCTCCCTTTGTAATCTGTAAATTTTTTATATCTTCACGATGTAAATAATGTGACTTGTAATATGTAATAAAACACTCATCCGATTCCTCATTTCTTTTTAAAATAATTTGGCTTACACATGATTTTTCCAATTTACAAGATCCCTGTGATTTCAATTTTCTTTTTCGCTTCATTTTTAAATCATGCTTTTCTTCTCTCTTTCTATGCGAACGCCTACACTCATAATATTGTTTTTCAAATTTGTTTACAGATCTTTTCCCAGTAGATTTGACATACTGAACTTTATTCAGAGTTTGTACTTCCAAAAGCCATTGAGTGAAATCTAAAAAAAATATATAATTCTTCCACAACATTCTCGAAATTATGATTATCAACCAAATGTTTTCTTAAGTCATTATTAAATATAAAGTTAACATTACAATCAACACAAGAATACTTTGTATAACACATATATTCAATATTCTCAGGTTCCTTATTATGTACAGTTCTGGAATGTTTATTCAGATTGTATTGAAAGGAAAAAGTTTTCCCGCATTCAAAACAAAATACTGGCATTTTATAATATTAGATGACAAGTACAAGATAAGAACAAGAAATATTTTAGTCGTCGTCAACGTTACACGTTACTTACTTTACAAAAATATGTTGTTTACAGATGAATGATGAATTCGCGCCAACATATTCTTTGACATTTTGAGGACATGCGTAGATCATGGAATATTATACTCCTAATAGGCGCTCCTAGTGGAATGCGGCAACAGTTTGACCGCGAAACGAGAATAAAAATACAGTTCCTTATTGAAGAGCTGCATAAAGGTGTATCTGAACGTCTACACTGTGCAGCGGAGAAATATTTTTATACACAAATAAATAAAGTGGGTTTGAATACAGTTGTATCAGATCAGCTACATTGCACATTGTAGGGTTAAATCTATTGAAGATTATGTGTGCCGAGTTTATAACTTGAAGACAAAAAAAGATGTTGGTCAAGGTAGATTTGAAGTATTTGAAAAAAAGTTTAAAAGTATAGACGGAAATGAAAAAATTTTGAAGAAAAATTTGTCAGGGTTCGATGCATCTAATCTTCCACCAACAAAAAGAGAGCTGGACAAATAGTCACAAGCAGCATTTATCTCATTGGCACCACGAACTAGTATTACCTCATTGCATGCCACAATAGTTAAGTCAACAATTCCATCAGTGTTTTGACATCTCCTTACTCCTGAGTATATGCAACTATCAATTTCTTGTTTTGTGGTTGATGTTTCCTTTAAAGGTTCACATTTTGAATTCTTTGTTGTGGTTATCAGCATAGTTGATGTTGTTAGTACTAGGAATTTGGTTGTTTTGTTCATCTTGACTTTTATGTCTTTTTCCAAAGAAAGATGTTGTTGTAAACATTAGTAAGTTAGGTTCTTTTTGCAAATGATTCTGTTCAGTGTGAGGAGCTGTTTTTGAAAAAAAGCAAAAAGAGAGCTGTTGCAACAAATAAAAAGAACGATTTGCATCAGTAACGTGTGGTGCAATGCTCATCTAAGACGACCAACAAAGCTCTATGCTGAAGAGTGCGGGTGGATAAATATCGAAGACACTTAGGAATTTTTTTGGTTTGATGGCGAGTAATGTCCCGTATTTGACAAAATATCTGCTTATTCAGGTAATATATTTATAATTAAATTTAAAATCTAATGTATTACGATGGATTTTCTGCAAAAGTATGCTTTTTCTATATTCAACATTTTTTATTTTAAAGATTTTTTTGACATTTTGTGCGGAAAATCCACGTATTACGCACCATCAACTATAACGACCTTTTACGTACTGGTTGTATTTTAACGAAAAAACCTAGTTTCACGTACATCCGGCTTCACTCACCCTTGGCCCTTTGATGCAAACTCATGTTTAAAATCAAAACCCCTTATCACGTAATATACTATTTTTGCATTTGATAAAAATTAAACTATTATAATTAAAAAATAATGAAAACAATTACGTCTAATAAGTTATTTTAAAATATTATTTTAGTTGAATCACTTTCAAAAGATTCCATTAAATTTATTATGCAATGTTTAATTTACAGGATCCATTTCTAAAATGATCCGAATGATTGGGAGGCAAATAGATCATCCGATGAAAGTGAAGACGCAGAGATAGGGAATTTATCCGCCAGTTATTCGCCATACTCCGAAAGCTCTGATGAGGATGATAATTTTTAATTGAATTTTTGTTCTAATAATAATGTTTTTTTCAATCTATTATTATATTTAATAATTTTTTTTCACTATATATAAAAGCATAAAATAATATGTATTAACTCACCTTTACAGTTTAAGAACGGCAATATCCCATAAGAATTTACTTTTTGTTCGTTTGTCCCAATATTTTCGTCCGGCAATTAGATTTTTTATTTAAAAATGTAATTAATAGTAACCCCTACTTTTGTCGGAAAAATCGTTGTAAAAATAAGTGATAAACGAACCATACATGGATTAACGTCATCGATTACGAATAAAAATTCCGTTTTTTTGTCCGACGATCGAGTTGCCCCAAAATTTTTGTCAGACAATTTGATTTTTTGGTTTAAAATATAATTACTTACAACCTCCTTTTTTGTCGAAAAAATGGTTGTAAGCAAAAATGTTGCATAAAATTGACATCTTTGGCGCGTCCTACTGCGCACATGCCCCGTGAAAATTGTCCGACAAGGTTACCATAATTTTTTAAACAGTTTTTATGATGAATTGTGTTAAAAACAGCTGTGTGGTAATAATTTTTTTTCCCATAAATTTGACACGTTTAGAGAGTCCGACGCGCCAAATGGCCCATTATTTTTGTCCGACAACATGTTTTTCGGTGTTTTTATAATAAAAACTATTGATTGATATATTGAAACTATTGACCAATGTGGTCGTAAATTTTTTTTTACATAAAATTAACATGTTCCTGACAGTTTCATAGACAAACGCCCCACTACCATTTTGCGCCAGGCTTTAAATTTGTGCGACTCCACCCAAATAATGAATTTTCCTCCACTGAAAAAAGTTTGGAGAGTATGTTCATAAAAAAAATTAGACAGGGGCCCAAAGACTATTAGAAAATATGATAGATGGAATGATACTGAAAAAATTAAAGCAGTCAAAAATTACAGAATTCTTCCAATTGCAGAAGCAATAGTTTATAATTGGCTAGCCTGGAACTAAAGTGGTCTAAGTAACAAAACCACTTTTTCGAGAAAATTAAAAAAATCCATTTTAATGTATAAATCGGTTGGTACAGGAACTAAAACCAAAATTTTTGTACAAAAGTTTAATTACGGTTACCAAAAATCTTACAAACATAAAAAAATCCTTACTGATAACTGAACTTCATTTTGTTAATTTTTTTTATTTAAAAATGTAACATAGACCATTTTAGAATTATTAAAAATAGTTAAGTAAACTTATTCATCCAAGTCTTCACCTCGAAATGGTGGTAGTATGTCTTCATTATCCTCCCTATCACCTGTGCGATTGTAATGGGGTAAAGAAAGATAAAATGGATGATGCACAGGAGGTACAAATTGTAGCATTTTTTTTATATCTTTCATTTTATTAAAAGATAAGGGGCTAATATCTGCGGCAACCTCCGGGGAAAAGTTTTTTAATACCTGTGCAAATTCTTGAAAAGAATTCATTTTATTTAGATCTATAGCATTATAATTATCCGAGTAATCATCATTGAAAAACATTACCGATGTATCTTTGGAGAACTTAATTCTGCGTATTTGAGAAATCATGACGCCAGAACTCCGCAGGGCATGAGGTGACTTAAAAATCTTCAACTTGTCGAATGACACAAACTTATCCACCATGTTTTTTACACGAAATGGGTGGCGCTTTCGACAATTTTAAATTAATTCCATCCATGCTTCAGGAGTGTACACTGGGGTTAAATTCTGTGCCCTACTAATAAATGAAAAATCGCCATCGTTTGGTAAATATGTGTGACCGGTAACCAGATAATTTACATAGATATCTTGAATGTTCGGTAAAACGTTAACCATGTACATAAGAAAATGTAACAAATTCCAGTTCCGATTTTGTCCCCCACAACAGTCACTAAAGAGAACAAGTTTTGTAGCATGAGGAAGAATGTCATTTTTAAAATAGTGATATAAACAACTTATCACTTTTTGAGAACCTCTAGCCCCTTTGGTCTCATACCACATGTTCATAAAAACGTTTTCTCCACCACTTTCATAAGTATGAATTCCTAAGTTTAACATATGCATCTGCCTTAAGTAATACACCTCACCGGTATTTATGTGAGGTAAGGGAAGTGTTCTTTCCAAATCAAATGTAATTAATACACCTGTACTGTCCGGCTTCACACACTCGTTTTTGTAATCTTTCAGAAGTTTACTAGCTTTTTGAGCCAGAGCAATATGCTGGTCCCTTTCTATTTTTACTTGTTCTGATTTTTCTTTATTACTTTCGGCATTTAAACTTATTTGAAATGCATCGCAAAATTTGCAAGTATCTTTTTTAGGTATATAGAAATGAATATTAAATTCGGTTCTAAAGATTTTTTCATAGATACTTTTTTTAAGAACTGGTTTTACTTCAATAATTAATTTACATTTAAACAGTTCGTACATTTTGGAAATGTTTAAAGAGGGTGCAAAATATTGGCGCTTTGAGGTTCTTTCTCCATAGTGGCTCTTAAATTTAGGAAAACTATTAATGTGATCACGAATCCACTTCAATTTCTCCTCGTTTATTTTATTTCCAGGAACTTTTTTCCTCTTCGATCGGGGGAAGGGATATCACTATTTTCGGCTTTTTTTACTCTTAGTGCATAATCTAATCGATGATTACTTATTTGTAATACTTAAAAAAAAAATTTTACACATGTTCTGACCATTTAGTTGAAATATCAGTGAATATTGTTTACGACTCACAGATTCTGGGTGTATTTTTTTTCGGGGACGTTTAGGTGCTTTAGTTCTAACTGTACCGCACAACCAGCTAGTTTGAGCGTTCCAATCCTGTAGTTTGTAAAATCTGTCATGTACCTCTCTCTGGACATTCTCTGGCACTCCAGTACTGCATTTTAGACGACAATTACATTCAATGTAAAAAAACGTTTTAGCGGCCATAACTTTCCCTTTTATACTAGTGTATTTCTCTCCTGAAGCTCTACATCTCTTTCTGACGTATTTCCCCCATGAAGCCTCTTGTTTCATTTTCTTTCTTCCCTTTCTTACTTCAGTTTCGTCCGGTTCTTGAATTTCCCCAAGATTTTCCATGTTTTGATTCAACAACACAGGTTCATGTTCAACATCGGAATCTGTAACAAGAGGAGGTAGTTCAGTATGTTTACTTAAAACAATAACATTATGTAACGTTGCGATGCGTTAAAGCTTTGTTTTAATTAAGCTGTTATAATGGTTTTAAAATAACTCTTAAAATACCCATTAGAGGCAGACAAATTTAACAAAAATGTAGCTTATTTTGTTTTAATATATTAATTTCTTTGAAAAATAAAAAATATGGCAACAGTGCGCATCAACAGATTAATGTAAAAACATCAGCACGTGGATTTTCCTACTAGTTACTACAATCACTTTCTTTTTAAAATCAATTGCTTCCCTCATTGGTTACTAAACTATAATATTTTATTTAAACATGCATTTACTTGTATTTGTGTTACTATCTCTTGCATCAGAATCGCTGCCATCATTATTTGAAGGTATGTACTCATCTTCACTTGAACCGGGATAAGGTTCTGAATCAGTTTCGTCATGAAATTGTCTCGCAGCTTCCACTAGTCTGCGTGTACGAGACCTTATTGAAATATTCGTAGTCATTTTTCACATTAACACAACCGATCTACTAACAAAACCTCCCGGTTTGAGGTTAGTACCAATGACATTAGCGCCACAATGTTGCCGCTTTATTAATAATTGTTGATTAATGTGCTTCATAGACCACTTTAGAATTTAGAATTTTTACATTGGTAGAAATCAATAGGTCTATGATGCATAGTGTTACATAGACCCCTTAAGAATTTTAACAAATTTCAATTTCCCCAAAAGTAAAAGTGGTACATTGTTATTTTACGGACTCTGACTGAGATTTAGACATAGACCACTTTAGTACTGATAGATTACTAGCTTTTAAAGTCAAATATAACAAAATCTCAATTTTCATACATATGCGACATAGACCACTTTAGCTCCAGGCTAGCCAATTATCCTTTAAAATACGCTTTATACATTATGTAGTTGGAAAAAATGTATGTACAGATTTTTTGTTTTAACGTATACCTATGATTGACAATAAAAGTAAACAACTTTTTTTTCAAAAACGCCCTTCAAACAATATTTCTTAGCATCTAGGGTGCTCCAAATGACTTCACTACAGAAAGTTAATGTTGTAGAAAACTACATATTCATATGTATGCACAGTATTATTGTTGTCTGATATAACGAGATCGGCTTATAACGAGGTAATTAGTCTGCCATTTCAGTTCTCTTTATAGAGGGAGTCTACTGTATAACAAACAAGATATGCTCACTTGCCATTCTAATTTTAGTCGACTTTGCGCATGGCGTCATAGCGAGACAAAGCCAGGGAACTTGTGTGTATATAAAAAAAGTAATTTTACATCTTCACTAACATTTACACATTTTTGCAGCTTCTATTAGGTGTTTCAAATAGTTTTTAGTTATTTTTAATGTTTTGTCATTATAACTACGAAAAATATGTTCCAGTTCACTACATTTAGTTACAAATTCCAGTGTTGCTTTGAGTAAACCACCCTCAGAAAGGTGATTTACCCAAATAAACGATTTATCGTTAGCGTCCGGAATAATATATCCAAGTATTTCTTTTTTTGTCACTTAAATGCAATGAAACCGGCTAAATTTTCAAATCCATTCCATTCCAGGTCTTTTATATTGGAATTAATAAAATCTTGATGACTGTCAATGAAATCTTCAGGGTTAATTTCTGTATCACCACTAGGAAGGTTTAGCGAGGAAAAGATCTCTTCAGTGACAATTTCACAATTAATTATACTATTAATAGTAATATTCGCAGACTTGACTCTGCATTTGCAGATGTTGAAATAATTTCATCATTTCTACCCATTATATAGTTTCTTAATATATACCTAAACTCCAGAGCAGTTAGATGATCATGTAGACCACCAATTGCTCTTAAACTTAAAACCAGGCCTTCTAGAAGGTCCTGGTTAAGATTGTAAGTTAATATATGATTTTTAAGTCAACAAAAAGTTGAAGTTAGTATCCTCCTCAGTCCCAAGAAAAGAGTTTTTATTATTTTAGCAATATTTTCTATTTTCCCTCTTGATTTGTGAAAAAAATAAACGAAAATCTATAAAAACTAAAAAAAATTTATTTGACAGACATAATTATGACAGGTCCAGCATAATGGACATCAGGACTTAACTTACATATAATTTAAGTATGAAACTGAAAAAAAACATTCTCGTTCAGGAGAAATACACAAGTACATTTTGCATTTTACACAAAAGAATCTAGTCTTCTTAGTACACCCAGGGTTTCGGCAACGCATGTAAGAATTTTTATTGTCGACAGAGCATATTGGCAAATGGTCATTACTAGTTTTTCTTACATCCATAGGCGGTAAGTGGACAACTTTAGATCGTTTTACTGGAATTATGGGCTCTTCATCTTCAGATGTCTCCGGTTTTCTTGAAATAGACGTACTAGCTTCTCTCCCATTTGTAGGCTTACCACCTAAAGCTAGTGACCTTCCAACATACAGCTTAAATTCCAGTAAATCCATTACCTTGGATCTCTTATCGCCAAACGCTACCCTATCCTGACGATACTCTATCCATGAATTGGTCAATGCAAGATCAATAAAGTGCCAAAAGACACGTACAGGCCATTTTTTAGTGCGCATACAGATTCTGTAATATGAGATAAATCTGTCACACAAATCCACGCCTCCCATTGACTGGTTGTATTTAACAATTGTGTTTGGACAAGGCACCAGAATATACTTTGAATTTTTTTTATCCCATCTTCGTACGTCAGTCAAAGGCAAAGAACCTGCAGATGTAGAAGCCATTGTCACAGATCTATTGTCCATCCATTTCAAAATAGAGACTTTCTTATCACCGCGTACCCATTCTTCATGCGACCCTCGGCCTTCTTTTAGTAAAGCAGAATCTTTTTTTATTTTGCTTCTAAGTACTCGTGGAATTCGATTATTCATAATGGTACCAATACCACATATTCCCTTTTCTAATAAATAATCGAGTAAATTAATGGAAGTGAAATATCTATCAAAGTAAATTGTTGTTCCTGGACACAAGTGCATCGACAATTTTTTCACTACAGAGCCTCCAATGCCCAAGGATTTGTCAGGAGCAGCATCAGGCCAAGTGTTTGCACCTTGATAAATAAAGAAATCCAAGACTAGCCCTGTTTTTGAAGCAAGCACAAAATTCTTCAAACCTACAGGATTAGGTTTGTTCTTGACATACTGTCGTAGACTAGTGGTTCCAGTGAACGGAATCATTTGTTCGTCAATTGACAACTCGAGAGATCTTTGAAGAGTGATACATTTACTTCGTACAACATCAAGAATAGGCTGAACTTTCCAAAGTTTATTTGCCTTTTTGGTCTCCTCTGAAACTGCACAGTTGTCTACAACATGTAAAAAATTTCGTAACTTGTAGATTCTATCTCGGGGAAGCTGAGTAATAATAGGAATTTCAATTCCTTTCATGAAATAGAGGCGTAAACGCGGTAGTCCAAAAATTCCCATCAAAATATGAATACCTGCTAGTTTCTTGAATTCCTCTGGAGTTGACTTTAGGCTTTTCTTTTCGTTTGCTTGCATAGCTCGTATGTTACTTGCTGAAGACAAGTTTTCCCAAAAATGCTCAGGAAAATACTCAGAAAAATAATCCAATGGTGTCCAGAATTCGTGATCTTCATTAGCTATCCATGGATCAGCGACGTCGAAATCTTGAGTTTCAAAAATTTTTTCACTCCAAGTATTCTTAACATCATCTAATTGTTCCGTTTCCTGGAGTTTCTCCCAACGCTGCAGTAAAGGAGTATCATCGTCTGAATCCCACTCCGAATCTGAATCATTTTCTAAATCATTTTGGGCATTATTTTCGTTTTCATGAAAAACATCTGAAAGGTTTTCAGAAACATTCTCTTTCTCACTGCAATCATTATCGCTATCGTCACTGAGGAAAAAATCGCTATCTGCCAAAATATCCTCCAATTCACGTTCTGTCAATATCCTTTTTCTGTCTGTAACCAAACGTAAACAACGTGAGTATGGTAAAATATTTTGCTAACTAAGTCCCAATGTCCAAAATGCTGGACAAAAATTTCAGAGGAGTCCTGACCTGACCAGTTGTAATTATTTTCAAATATATATATATTTACCACAAAAACGTCCAAATATCAAATAACATAAATGACAAACAATCAATAATTTAAAATACAGAAAAACACTACAACTTACTGCATTTTTGTGGAGACGCCATCATAACCTCACAAGTTTCACCACATGTAACAACAAACTAATGAAGTAGGCGTTGTAGTCAAATTTTGCAAACGAGTAAATTTTACTGATAAATAGGAAGTCCAATAAGCTGCACTATAGGACGCGGCGATGCTTAACCCGATTAGTTACTGTGTAAAAAATTAGTAAACATTGTCCAGCAGGCTGCACGTATGGACTGAGGAGGGTATAGATATAATTATACCTCGCTGAAATGGAAGAGTTAGATCCAATTTTTCTTACAGCTAATACAGTATACTCCCTTTATAACGAACACGGTTATTACGAGTTTTCGCTTATAACGAGGTACATTAGATGTCCCGTGAAATTTCTATTGAACTATAACCCTCTATAGCGAGGTAAAGTTGCTTATAACGAGAGAAAATAAGATTGAAAACGTGTTTTTTTACGTTTTGGTCCAACCGTATAAATATAAGTTTATAACCTATAAATAAATACCCTTTTTGACTACCGTCCGCAGTAAACTTATTACAATTTATTATTCTTAGTCGGAAATTTACAATTTATGATTCACAAGTGTCATTGTAGGGGGTTGACCATTCACACCTAATAATATAGGTCCTAATGATGACAAGATATGGAAAGTGTTTTCAAGTTTGTCAGAAACTTTATCCAAAGAAAAAACGCAAATGAAGAAGCATAAAACTGTTTCACATCTTTAGAAAATATGATAGATAGAATACTGGACAATTTAAAGTAGTCAAAAATGACAGACTACTTCCAATTGCAGACGCAGTAGTTTATGTTATTCTTGTTTTGGGTACTGTGTTAAAGTTAAATCGGTGATAGGTAAGGGGGTAAGCCATGGAGGGAAGTCTAATTTTGTGGTTATGGATAATATGAATTCATTGCAATTGAATCCTTTTTGATTGATTCTTTCCCTAAATGGTTTTGTTTATGTTATTAAAGTTTATGTTATTCTTGTTTTGGGTACTGTGTTAAAGTTAAATCGGTGATAGGTAAGGGGGTAAGCCATGGAGGGAAGTCTAATTTTGTGGTTATGGATAATATGAATTCATTGCAATTGAATCCTTTTTGATTGATTCTTTCCCTAAATGGTTTGTCTTTATATTGTTTGTTTCGATACAAATTGGATATAAGTGCGTTAATAATCTCAGAATATAATGGGTGCTTTTTATTGGAAGATATTCTTGCTGCATAATTTAAACTAAGTAGATGTCGTCTTAGATGTAGAGGGGGTTCTCTTGATATTACTTGTAAGCTGCTTACAGGACTGGTTCTGAAGGCACCGACGGCTAATCTTAAAACTGTTGTTTGCATTGTGTTAAGGTTTTTTAGGAACGTTTTATTTGCTGTATCACACACACACACACACAATAACACACGAGGTGATCAACCCTACCCCCAGGAGCATGTGTATACCACCATATGGATGGGATCCACATGCTCGAAGATCAAACCGGTCTCACTTCACTAATTGAAGTGGTACCTATCTGACCCCCAGGCGTTCCTCCACCCCTCCTCATCGTACGACTGACGTGAGGAGGCTTTGATCTTAGTTTTACTAAAGGTACCCTGGGTAATGAGATACCTTTCGTTATTTCTTGGTTGTGGTTATGCCACCTATCTGTAGGGGTAGCCTAAATGTTGGCTTTTCTCCCTAATTTACTTTACTGGCTCTAGTTTGTATTTTTGACTTAACGTCGGGACTGAGGTCCCTGAAAATTCGTGTGTTCCGGACAGGGAGTCCCCGGTCTGAGCCGGCGGCCCCCTGTTCGGAAAGGTTTATGTGTGCTCGCTCACACAGCCGTCGATTTGGCAAAATAAATTTTGTTCTCCTCGCCGGCTGTGCGTTCGAAGGTGTCCCGGCCATCAAGCCCATGTGTGTCGTACATGGTCTCGATGCTCGGAGGTCGCGATTTGGGGTGCCTGAGGGGCCTGTGCCTTATGGCTATGACTGTTTTTAATTTAGTAACTTGATTGATTTTAGTTGAATTAGTAACTGTATTAATTTGAGTTTGTCTTAACCATTTTTAAAATTTTACATTTTCCTATGTTTACTAGTTTGTGTTGTATTTCATCTTTGTCAGTTAGGGGTGCTGACTCCATACACTAACTATATGGTGGTGTTATTTTTAGTTATGATTTGTTGGATTTTTGTCTAAAAGATGGTGTATTGCGGGTTGGTGGTGTCATAATTGGTTTTAATCAGACAACGAGCTTTTATTGATTTTAATCTATTCCCTATCTACTAATAACTAACTTAAACTATCTTAACTATGGAGTGTGCATTCCCAAGTGTATAATGCTCTCACACACTCCGTGTATATTTTTTTGTTTGTTTTTTATTTAACTTACAACTATACTACGTTTCACGTTTAGAAAATAACATTGCGAAGATAGGGCCATGTATTTCTTATGGACGATAGCAACGCGGCGTTGCCACGACACACACAAGCACAATTTAGGGTTGTATAATTTGTATTTTCGTTTCCACAAACATGAATTAAATTAATGTTTTTTAACGTAATTGACCAAAAGTGCCCATTCGAAACAAGAGATGAAAAGTAGGGAAAATGATTTTAATTAGATAAATAGTATTTACAAAAGATAATTTTATTTTATCTTATTTTAATTATAGTAACGACAGTTTATTTGTTTTTCGGTGAGAATACGATATGCCATGAATCATATAAATCAGTAGATAATATTGACCGCTTGGAATGCGTATATCTAATTACTAATTGCAACTTAAAATAATACGATGTGCGTATGTCAGCTATTTTATGTCGTCTCTGACTACATAATGATAATAAGGCTTTTATTTAGTAGTTATTCTGACTTTACAGTTAAATATTAATTGAAAATGAAAATTCAAAAATTAAGCAAAGGGAATATCTTGGACATCCGTGCAAAAGAGAGTGTCTGAGAGTTTTGGCAACACTGATCTCCATAAGCGTAATGTTATTTTCTTAACGTGAAACAAAGAATAGCTATGTCTAATCTACTGCTAAGTGTGCGTGTGTTGGGGTGTGCATTCCCGGGTGTATAGAGCCTGCACACACCCCGGTGTATATTGTCCTTAAAACTAGTTATTATTTTTTTGTGCTCGTTGTCTGATATTTTGACGACTCTGTGTCTATCTTGTTTCTTTATGTATATTAATTACCTATATCCGACGAGTTGGTGTTTTGGCCGTTTATGTACCATTCTGTGGTTTATATCGTAGTTGGTCAACTCTCTGAGTAATCTGCTGGGATGAGTATTTATTTGATTGAAAATATTATGCGCTCTTTCATCCATTGTTCGCAGAATTCGCTTTTGTTCAGAGTCCCTAAATAAGTATCTTAGTGGAACGTACTTAGGTAAATTCAGGGCTTCTCTGATTATCCAGTTCTGGGCTGTTTGGATCTTTTTTCTGTTCGTTTTGCATGTGTGTCCCCATGCGGCAGATGCATATGTTAGTGAGGGTAGGATTACGCTGTTAGCTACCCTCATTTTTGTTTTGAATCGCAGTTTGCTCTTTCTGCCTATTAGCGAAGAGAGTTGACTTCTTAGCGCTTTTGCTTTGTAGACAGCTTGTTTAACATGTGCGGTGAATGTTAGTTTCCTGTCTAATATGACTCCGAGGTATTTAGCCTCGTTCGTCCATTCTACTGGGGTGTTCCCTACCCGTAGTTCTGTGTCCGGTCTTCCGAATCGATGTCTGTACATAACGGCTTGTGTTTTTTCGGGGTTTACGGCAATTTTCCACTTTATGCACCAGCGTTGGAATCTGTTTAGCGCGCTCTGTAGGTGGCTTGCGGCTAGATTTGGGTTTCTGCTGCTGGCTGCTATGGCTGTGTCGTCGGCGTATAGGCTGACCAGCGTTCTGGGGTCAGTCGGAGTATCAGCGGTGTAAATAGTGTACAGGTAAGGCGACAGCACCGCCCCTGGGGCACACCAGCCTCCAGAGTTCCGAGTTCAGACAGGGTTTCGCCTATCTTTACCCTGAACCTTCTGTTTGCTAGGTATGATGCCAGGAGACATGTCATCGCCTCACTGTATCCCTGACTATTCATTTTATAGAGTAGCCCGAGATGCCATACCCTATCGAACGCTTTACTCACGTCTAGGAATGCAGTTGCGGTGTACATTTTTTCGTTGAACCCTTTGGTGATGTGTTCAGTCAGTCTCAGGACTTGTAGTTCGCATGAGTGTTCGGCCCTGAAACCGAACTGAGCTTCAGGTATGGTTCCTAACGCTAGTGATTCGTCGTTTAGTCTTTTGAGGATGACTTTCTCTGCGATTTTGCTTACTGATGACAATAAGCTTATCGGTCTGTAATTTTGTGGGAAAGTGCCGTTTTTTCCCGGTTTCTGTATCATCATAACATGGGCCTCCTTCCATCTGTCCGGGAAGTAGCGCAGTTTTAAAATTCCGTTTACTATGTTTGTTATGTAAACTATTGCTTTCGCCGGTAGATTTTTGAGGGCCTTGTTGGTGATGTTATCCGGTCCTGGTGCTTTTTTTGCATTTGTCATTTTTATAAGATTCTTAATTTCTTCAGGGGACGTGTGTTCGG